AAAAAAAAATGGAGTAATTGATGTACTCAGAATTCTAAAATTGTTGCTGGTTCTTAAGGAATATAGACCTATCTTTTACATCTATGTGCTATGAGTTTGAAGATTTGGCATTGGACTTTTCTTTCAAAATCTATTTTTTAAAAATGAAATACAACTCCATGTAAAAAACCTACCTGCAAACAGCACACACAAAACAGTCTGGGTGATAGGTTTTGCCAAGTGCTGAGACCACTTCTCCCTCAATGAACTGATCACAACTGAAGCACCGTGTGCCATAGAGTCTCTGATAGTCCAAAGTACAGATGTAGTCTCCCTGTCTCACAAAAAATCCTCCTTGAGCCAGGTCACATCCACAAGCTGCAGGAAGAGAAAAGGCAGACTCAGAAGGCTGAAAAAAAAAAAGGAAACTATCTCTATAATAATGCTTTTTTTCAACTGCAACCAGTACAGTTCTTAGCGTTAATATTTAAGCACTTCAACTTAAGGGCTTATGATCACAGAACAGTTGCCTCTCTGAAAAACATTGCTTGTACAGTAAAATATAACAGTGATGCACTACATACAGTAACAATCTGAATTCATTCCATATAAAAATATAACCTCAGTGCGGAGGCTGTTTGTCCTTAGAAATCCAGTGCAGTGCTAGAATATACATTACTCATTTATATTTAATAGGTTAAAGGAAATGTATAAAAGATACAAACCTTCATAACCTAAAGCAGTAATGTTATAAAGAAATGTCTTCTAAGACTACTCTAAGATTGCCTGATATTTCTCCTGGGCATGACTGCGGTTAAAAATACTGCTCTATCTAAACAGTCGCTCCGATGCGCATGGGAACCACTGTAAACTTCCGTGACAGCTTTCAAGTTGTTTTTTTTTAAACAGATCCTATGTTTATTTGATAAGCATCACACACCAACCACAAATCAGAAGGATCTCCAGAACCATCTGCTCCTGGCAAAAGTAGAGTTTTCAATCCTAGCTGTCACCTTATATTTTTAAGGTTACATCTATAGGGAAGGGTAAAAGAAGATTAACAAGGAGCTTGTGAGATGTATTTTCTCCAGTGCACCAGGGATGGGGCCAGGATGGTATTTTAGGATTATAAAATGGGAAAAAAGGCCAACAGTCTGAGCGAAACTGTACAAAAGTAGATAGAGAAACTGATTATCCTCTTTGGAAACAGACTTGATTGGATTTATAAGGAGGAGTGAAATTCAAAAGGGGGATTTTGCTATAATGACTATTATTTACACTAAGTCACATCATCGTGCTTGTTGCTACGTCCTTCTACTCCTGGCCTTGTGTAGGAGGAAGTATCTCCAGTAGCAAACAGCGCTTACAGTCAAGCAAGGCTGAAATGTGAATTAAATGGACAAACATGACAGGTGGACACTCCTCTCCCTGCTGCTGGATGCAGAAGAAAAGCAGTACGGTTGCTTATAAAAATTCTATTAAACCTACAAAAACACTGAATTGTTGTTTAGTGCCTTGGACCAAAAATCACAAAGCTACTCAGATGTCTGAAGTTCAAGATTGGGACTTCTGCTTCAGTACCTGAAAGACCACAGGTGCCTGGGTTTTTAGAAGTAAAGCCTCTCTACTCACACCTAAGCCCATTTGTAATTCCAAAATCAGTCATCTCATGAGAAACGAGACCAGCAAAGCACAAAATGACACATATAGCATCAAAACCCTTATAAAGTCTAGGATCCCACCAAAACCACAACCGAAGAGAAAGAATCACCTGAATTCTCTGTCAATCTTCCTAATACTCACAGACCACAGGACATCTGGCCTCAAAACCCCCTTTAAATCCTGAGTGGACACCTAAATTCCTTGTGATAGAATCCCTTTCCATCTCCTTTGAGATGCCTCTAGCCACTTAAATGAAGGAAAAACAAACAAAAAACCACAATCAAAAAACGCAAAAAAATAAAAAGCAACACCATAAAAAGCAGAATATATGGCAGAATATGGCAAAGAACTGAAGAACCAAGAGATTAATCAACTTTTCTTCTTTAAAGATCAAAATAATTCCAATTTTATGTTCTTTTCATGGAAAATGTCAGTTAGATGATTTCTCTTGCAATGTATTCTCAACACATAGGCTTAAGGTATTTACATTAGCTCTTTTCCTTTTCAATATTAAATAAAGTCTTGATTTTAACTTTTAGTAGGGATGTGCACTTCAAACACGCTCTTCAAAACTACAGCATAGCTTCCTAAATGTTATGGGTTTCTTTTAGTCAATATATTTCCTTTAGGCATGTATTGCTGTGACAGAAGCCTAAGTCAACTATGAATTTAAGGAGAACGAGGAGCTTGCTGAGCTGATATTAATGATGGCTAAAGCAGTTATAAAATGTATCATGTTGTGTTTAAACGGGAGATTGACATTGCAGAGCGGAACATAAAGTAAGATGTTAATGGACTTGACAGGTTTGGAGTGAGTAGGGGGAGATTACTTCCCTACAGAATATCTCCTTATGTCAGCAGAGGCAAATCTCACTACAGCACAAGCAAGGAAAGCCATCAAGAACCAATTTTGAGTTTGGACCTTTAGGCTTCTCGCACACTTTAATTTGGATAGCAGAATTAAGGTTAGGGCTTATTTCCTACACAAGCTGTGCTAATACCTGTTACTGTATTTTCCAATTAACGCTAACGGGTTCAGCCTGACAGTCCCAACAGGTCCACTGCAAATGAGCTGCACACGGAGGCACTAGGTTCTTGTAGCACCTTGTGTTATGTACGACAGTGGGATGATAATGATAATCATGCAAGAGACAAGGGGACCATGAGAAGGTGAAAAACAAATCAACATCGTACTTGTTCCACAGTACAGAATCAAGGATTTTATTCCTGAAAAAAAGCTACTGTAAGATACCTGACTTTCTAGATTAAAAAGGGGGTGAACTCTGTGAGACACACTCTTGTCTAGCCACAGTTCTAGAACAAGAGATATGATAATTAAGAAAAGAATTCACAGGATAAAGAGGAAAAAATGGCCATGGGAGAGGTACCAGTGGTTTAGGATGAAGAGGGAAGTATTGGCTCAAGGCAGGTACTAGTTTGAAGAATATTACTGCTAGAGGAGAAAAAAATAAAAAAATGTGGAATGCAGCCAACGAAGCCTACAATGGCCTAAAGTCCACAGGCAACATTGATACCCATGCTCAGAAGTGTAAGGAGAGACGAGTATCTTGAAGAGTGGAGAAGGGAGCATCTTAAAGACACGAGATGAAAGGTCTTCCACAAGCACAAGCAATAAAACGTGCCATTCTGAGCAACAGGAGAACAAGACTCACAAACATTGGCTATCACAGAACACTGCAAGTCATCAACGTTTTGAGGCTGCATGGGAGACAGGTGGTAACAGCAGTACCCTTGTGGGACCTCCTTGCGGTCTGGAAACCATCACAGTGTTCCTAATCATAGGAAAGAGTTTATGGAAAAATATCCCAGTATAAAAACAAACAAATCAACCAAAAAAACCCATCAAACCATCAAACAAAAACCCACACTCAGCTATAAGTTTGGAATGAAGTCTGAGATATGGTTGAAATACTATCTTTAAAAATCTTTTATAGAATAATGAGTGAACTCTCACGAAACCACTAACAAAAGCTTAAAGCATGAGATAAACTTGGGAGGAACTAAAGCTATTTTTTTTTTTTAATTTCTGGAGGTTTGATATCTTAAGCTCACTTGTTCATAAAATATAAGTATGAACATTCTAAAATACAATTCTTCTGTTCAATGCTTCTGTTTAATTAAGCTGATGTTTCTGTCATCCTCCATAAAATCTGCAATTAATATACATTATGGTAATAAAAACATCCAAACATTTTTATTAAACTCTTCTAAAGTAACAAATGTTTTTTTAAACCTTTGAATTCTATGATTACAAGTCAAAGTGAGTAAGAAATAAGAAAAGAAGCTCTTTCTTTTTTTCATTGACAATACTAATTCCTGTATAATACAGTAGTAGTAGACACATAAATGGGTATAGCACAAATACATTTGGAACCAATTAGGTCTGTAACAAATGGATTTGTCACTAGTACCCAATATAATTATTCCTCATACAAAATTTGATAACCTCTTCTTCTCAGTGAGCCGGGTAAATCAACTGATGTACTGACTACTGATTTGGTTTAGTGCAATTTTTTTTATGGCAGCAGATGCTTTTTTGAATATTTCTGAATATTCCTGAATATTGAATATTCCACCTGCTTTTATGCCACTCCAATCATAGCTTGTTAAGATTTGAGCAAAAGCAATTTTAAATGTGCCGTATTAAAGTTTTTTTTCATTACTGCTTTTAAATGATTTTTTTTCATGCAAGAAACATTAAGAATGTTGCAAAATACTTCCTCTTTGACAAGAGGGATAGTAACTTTTCAAATAGGCTTAGCCATTCATCACACAAAAAGTTTTTTATCTGGGGTAATAATATCCCTGTTAATGCAGGTTTTAAGCATCTTAGTATCCCAATGGGTTTTAAAATCATTTACATTAAATCTTATTGCCACATTTGTCTCCTTAATCTTGTCAGTGGTAATTAGTTCTTCTAGACTTTCCTCCAAACTGTAAGCCAGAAGAAAACTCCTAAAGAAAATGTCCATTACTTTTTTTTCGGCACAGAAATCCAAGCAGGGCAGGATGTTCTTTTTTTTTTGCCTTTTACTTCAGCCTATCTCCGTAACAGAAACCATGTATGTGACTATTTGAGGCGGTAGCCTTGAAAGTCTTTGTATTTACTCATGAGTGAAGAGAAATCCAGTAGATCTGAGGCTCCTGGGCAGATCTGAGGCTCCAGGGCTATACCCTCTCCTTTATCATGACTTTGCAGTGTAGAGGAAGTAACAACTTTTCTACGTTCGATGTTTTCCCTGTATTCCCATCATCCAACCGGGTCTCCCTCGCTGCTCAGCGCAGCCCTGTCTGAGCAGCTTCCTTGCCAGGCTGCTGCATCCGGCACTGGACCCCACACGCTCCTTTGCTCTTTGAACCAACCGATCCAACAGACCTCGATCCCCAGCTGACCAGAGGAGAGCACGAGGTGTCCAGTTATGATCTGGCTTGGATATTAAAAGAAGCCTGAATGAAAAGCTGAGAGGAGAAGCCCTGGGAACAGAGCTGCGAGCCGTCTCTTCTAAAGAACGTTGGCCTCGCTGCCTATGACCGGTGTAGAGGCTCAGTGCTGCTGGGATGATCATTCCCCATGACCCATGAGAAGGAAATGGGGAAGGAAATGTGTAGGAAGGCAGAGGGGAGCACACTGGAAAGTTACCACCAGCTGTTAGCCCTGCAGGACAGAAACCAGCGTTATGTCACACACCCACTCC